ACTCTATCTACAATCTCAATTAGGAGTGTCAATGGTCCATTTGAGAGATAGGTGGCGGTAATGCACTTATAAGTCTGCGATTCGCCATAAAGCAAGAATAAGAAGAATAGGCCTCACGTGCCTGCTGTTGAGGACGCGCCGCCGCTCAGGACAGTTCGGACATTGCGGTGAATCAGAGGTAAAAAAAACTATATAAATACTGTTCAGTTTTTTGCACAGTCCAATCGTTTTGTGTCTTTACACATCAATGTATCGTCACGAGCCGCAGGGTTTAATTTGGTTTTATTTGTGTATGTTTTTTGACTCTCAAAGCCGTGATTCCCATCCACTTGCATTATAAGACTGACAGACTGCAACGGTTTGAGTTAAAAATCTTCATTTGTGTTCTACTGAAGAAACAAAGTCACCTACATCTTGGATGCCCTGGGGGTAAGCAGATTGGATTGGTTTCTTCTTTAAATAAAAAAGCAAAAATATGCATGGTATTATAATGTTATACTAAAATTAAAACAATGGAAAAATCCCTTAAGATAACATGTTGAAAGAAAAAAAACACATCTAAAGCCCCGTTCACACCAAGAACGATAACTATAAAGATAACGATATCGTCTGTTTATTCTAAGCACACGATCGTCTGCCGCTTTAAATTCTTGAGCTCGTTACAGCAGGATGGATTCTGATTGGCTGTCAATATTTTATCGTTCATCAGCTGGAAAAAAATCGTTTTGAAAGTGATCACAACGATATCGTTCCTCTTTGTCTTTCTCTTTGTCTTTATCGTTATAGTTGTGGTGTGGACTCTGCTATTCTTTAATATTGAGATAACTATAATAAACGTTACCTTTATAGTTATCGTCCTTGGTGTGAACGGGCCTTTAAGCACGCCGAATAACATAAGTGGACTTTGAACGATTAATTGCCGCTTGAACGATTACGTAATTGTGGCATCCGTAATTGTAATCGCGATTAGAAATTTAATTAATTGTGCAGCCCTACGATAAATAAAAAAATGCTGATAACTACTATATTGCATATGTGTTGTGCTGATCTGTATACAGCACTAAAACTGTGTTTGTTTAGGTTTGGTATAATTGGTCACTATCCCTTTAAATTAGTGTTAGATTATGATCTAAATCTTAAAATAGGGGAGCGATAAATATCTGTTAAATAAAAAATGCTGATAACCATTATATGGCAGATATATTGTGCATTCTTAGTACGTGTTATTTTGTGCCTATGCATTCTGTTCTGTCTACAGCAGTAAAACCACGAGTGTTTAGCTGTCGTACCAGTAGATGTAATAATACTCGTGCATGCTGTAGAGCTCCAGCTCAAAGCCACTGAGCAGGTACTGGATCATGATGCGCAGGTTGTGATAGAGGATCCAGGTGCCCAGACAGGCTAAATGCTGCCTCTGAGGCTCCAGCTTCATCAGCAGACCGTGGAGAGCAGCGTCCACCTTCTCAGCCTAAACAACAACCAACACGCTCAACGATGCCTTACTGCTCACATCATGACAACAGACTGATCGTTTACATGCCCACAGTTTAAAGGAACAGTTCACCCACTCCAGTAGTTTAAACCAGTGTATTCCAAAGTGATCAGTTTCTATGATGAACAGAGTGGAAAGAAAAAAAAAAACACACACATTTCTCAGGGTCTTTCACACAGAAGGCGAATCAAATTTTCATGTTGCGATTCATTGCTAATGCTCTTATCACGGTATACGGTATTATCACGGTATTGAAATTTAGCTGCAAAAAAAGTGTTGTCAAAGTATAACAGGTTTAATAACTTTCTTCTTATAACAAAAAGAAACTGAACATTTAAATACAATAAAGCAATACACAAATTTTACTTTACAGTAAGATCTCATTAGTTAATGAGCATTTGGCTTCAGAATTTATTAATCTTTGTTAAAAAATACAACTGTTAGTACATGTTGGCTCTAGTTCAACTTTTGATTTTAACAACGTGTTATCAAATATTGAAATTAACAAAGATTAATTAATTTTTAGAAGAATTTTTCATTGGCAGTTTATGTTTTACTAATAAATTAATGTTAACTAATGTAAAGTGTGACTGAACAATAAAGACTCAAAACATTTTCAAACAATATCTAGGGCATGTTGTAGTCCAGATTAAAATGTAAAAAAGTTTGACAATAAATAGCCTATTAAGTCTAAATATTTAAGTAATTGGCGCTGTGATGCGAAAACACAAATCTGAATGGCTGTTTAAATCATTTAAATAGGTTTCAGAAAGTAGCGCTGCGCAGCTGCTTTGTTTCCGGGGTTCTGGGGCAACGGCTTCATTTCTGCTGTCAGAGGGTGAATGTGCGCTTTCATTCAGCGCGTCACGCTGATTGGAAAAGTATTCTTAAAATGCATTCAAAAAAATTTGTAATAAATAATTATTCACGGTATTTTGAAGTGCCCACGACGATAACAATATCGTGCATGGTCATTATCGTGATATATCGCATTACCGAATACCGGCACATGTCTAGTCTGCTTGCATTTTTTCAAAAAAGTGCAGCGCAGAATGCCTCTTCTGCCATGTTGCAATCAACTAAAACTTACTACTGTAAGCAAAAGCTCGCAACGCTTGCCCCGCCTCTGGAGTCTTCTGATTGGTCCACTGTTTTGGAACTGACATTGAGTGGCACTGTCTCTGTCACAGCATCGTAAAAACGTGGCGCTCATGTGCAATCAAGCGAGTGCAATGGCCATATACCTCTGTCTAGACGTTTACATGGAAAAACGCGTTCTGTGTGAATGGCCCCTAACAGTTAGCTTGTGTCAGTGTGGCTGGTACACCTACGTTGTAGCCTTTATTGCTGGTGGGAATGTAGCTGACGTGAATCTTTTGAAGATTAAATATTCGTTTACTGATTTGTTTAGTGACAGGTTCCATTGTTTCAGCAGTAGATGTGGCAAACATCGTGTTTTATTAGAGAGTCATTGAATCATTCACCCAACATGGTCATTTCATTCGTGCACGGACACATCGAAAATGTTCTTGTTGTGAATGAGACTGACTTACATGTTGAACTGGTTCATTCAGTTTGTTCATGAGTCTTACGCTAACTAGCTCAATGAAGGCGTTATTATTCTGTCTATTGCAAACATTTCTGTCATCTCAGTTGTTGTTTTTTTCTACTTGTGTTTCAGATATACGTATTTACTAAGATTCTATCTGCTAAACTATTGTGAGGACATACATCAGTATACGGGTTGTAAGACACAGGGATGCAAACTCATCATTGGTGAAAAAGGTTACAAAGACGCCAAAATTCCGCCAAAATTCCTGGTGGAAAAAGACTTTTAATATGAAAATAACATGAAATTACCATTATATCCAGTAGATGGCAGCAGAGGATCGCTCATTAGCTCAGTTGCTATTTCCACTCTCTAGTTTTTTTCACGTTTTGCGCTTGGATTTATTATAAAATGACTATTGTAACAAATTTTAGTACTTTTACTGTACTGATGTATGAATTAAAGCAAGTACAATATAATTAAATAATAATGCATTAAATATTTTTGAGATATTTTTAGATTTCATTTAAAAAATGCTTTTTTTAAACAAAAAGAGTGCTTTAAGTTTTATCTTTAACTGTAAATGCTGCTAAATATATTCAGGCAACACAGACGATGCTACAGTTATCAGTCAATTTAGCGGATTCACTTGTGTCATTTTTTTTTACACTCGCATTTGTCATTCCTGAAACATTATACGTGTACGTTTGGTCCTCTTAGACAAACAAAACTTTTCCTTTAAATTGTTATTGGATTCTGTAGAGAAACCGAGCAAAGGCCACTCACCTTGTAGCGCAACTCACGCGAAAACTCCTGATATAATAAATAAGTAACTACACAATCAATCTCTTATTTACATTGTGTGTATGCTTTTTCTCTTCAATGTACAACTCCTTTTGAAGGGAAGTTGTGGCCTAATGGTTAGAGAGTCGGACTCGTAACCCAAAGGTTGCGGGTTTAAATCTCGTACCGGCAGGGATTGTAGGTGGGGGGAGTGAATATACAGCACTCTCTTCCACCTTCAATACCACGACTGAGGTGCCTTGACTTGAGCAAGGCACCGGACCCCCAACTGCTCCCCGGGCGCCGCAGCATAAATGGCTGCCCACTGCTCCGGGTGTGTGTTCACGGTGTGTGTGTGTTCACTGCTGTGTGTGTGCACTTTGGATGGGTAAAATGCAGAGCACTAATTCCGAGTATGGGCCATACTTGGCCACATGTCACGTCACTAAAAAAAAAACTCCGTAAACTTGCGAAAACAAAAATGAGTTCAGAGCGGATTCTGACTAACCTACAGTAAACACACCTCTGATTGGCCACTGGTGTCAACAGAGAAGCCTGTGATTGGCTACAGTTCTCAACTCTGTAAATAGAAACACGCAGTAGCATTTGAAAGCAGGTGTAAAAAGACCCCTCACACACAATTTTAAAAACTCACCGGATCTACACGAATCACACAAACGACCCAATTTGAATTCAAAACTGCGAATTTCGCCGAAAGGTGACAAGTTTGCATCCCTGAAGCCAGCAGGTTACAAGATGAAACAACATATTAGCGACATAAGACAACATGAAACGACACATTTAACCATAACGTGACAGGAAAGTTTCAGTTTCAGAGAGAAAGCTTCTGAAAGTGAACGTGTCTCTTCGGAAGACTTGGATTAAACCGTTGGATTGATATTAATTACTTCTACAATGGCTTTATGCACTTTTTGAGCTTGAAAATTTTGGTTGAGTGGACTTTAAATGGATAGATACAAATATGTTTTGAACATGAGTTTGGAACGACAAAACGCTTTTGTCAGTAAATGACCGAATTTTCCATTTTTCTGTGAACTATCCCTTTAAGGTCTTTGTAATAACTAACACCGATGAATCGAGAGGAATTCGACCCGAGAAACGTATCAAGAAAGTAAACAGGACCGTTCTGTTGACTTTACACGTCGATTTTAACCAATTAAAAGCTATCTGCGCACCTCATCCTGAAGGGTGGCGAACTCCTCCAGAATGTGACCCAGTTTGTCTCTCTGGCGCGCTCGGTTGAGCCCGTGGATCTGGATCAGGCTGCAGAACGGCTGTGACACATAATAACACTCTTATTTCATCACATTAAATCAAAAACATGTGAACAAACCCGTGTGCAGTGTGTGACAAACGAGTCAATGTAATCTTTAGCCTGGTGGTTATTGTTCAAACTGCATCTGTGAACAAGCCAAGCAGTGTTAAAACAAGGTAGGAATATAGTGTGATCTCAAAGGCATCATGACCTGATAATTTAGTAAGTCGATAAGGACAGGCAGGAGAAAAAATCAAACGGGACCACTGGAATAAAAATAACATTAATCTTGTCAGCTGTGATAGTGAAGACATGGTAAAGGTTTTCAAAAGAGTTACAAGTGTAATGCTTATTTCATATGCAACAGTGTTACCCAATCACATCAGTGGGTGTTTACAATGAAGTCTTAATGTGAAAATCCTACCAATATTCTAAGTATACTTTAGGGAACATTACAAAATAAAATTAAATACAATTTCTACAAATAATCACTCACTTTGGAGAGACGACAGGTGGACTGACAAAATAACGCAGTGCATCTTTAATCATGTCCTGCATCAGATGAGTCCCAAACACCTTCTTATTGTCAATCTGAAACGTGGTCTGCATCAGACAGACAGACAGACAGCATTCAGGCGAGCGTTAAGACTATCTACATGTCAAGACCAACCATCATATCATACATTTCCTGATCAATCCGTCTCTATAATGTATCCAAGACCTGTTTTATTTGTGTTATTCGTTGATAATAAAGCATTAAAAATACATTTCCTGACCACAGAAGAGATTTATAATGTCAGATGAAGATGGTCTCACCTGCAGCAGAGACCTGGACAGCACACACGGAGAAGCACATGCAGCAGCATTAGCTAGATTTATCTTTAAAACAACCTTGTATTTATACTGAGAGGTATTTACCAAGATGCTGTGCAGGTTGGTTATGTTGATGACCCCACAGACCGTTTTAATGCGCTCTATGAGTTTGCTGAAGTAGTTGACCATCTCTTCTCTCTTGATGATCTTGGCATATCGTGGGAAAGTGGGCGGGAACAGGTGCTGGTTAACCAGCGGCTCGAAACCCATCATGATTGGGTGATCTGCAAAAGCCATGGTGTGAACATTTGTGGAATTACATATGGCCAAAAAGCAATTTTTCAGACAAAACAAATTAAACATTAAAGTAATTAAATTAAATTAAAAATATTAAAATAATTTAGAAATAAAATGAATAATATGGGGTTAAATTAAAACTAAAAATGTATTATATTAAACATTTTTTTTTTATTAAATTCAAAATAAATGAAAAATATTCAATTAAATGACAAATTATAGGTTAAATTAAAATAAAAAATAATTACATAAAAAATGTAAAATTAAATATTAATATGGGGTTAAATTAAAACAAAAAAAATTATTATATTAAAATGACTAATTAAAAATCAATTAAAAATATTAAATTCAATTAAAAATAAAACGACAAATTTTAAGTTAAATTAAAATAAAAAATGAATTATATTACAAATTAAAAATGACAATTTTAATGTAATCAAGCATAAAATGAAAAATATTACATTCAAAATAGAATTTTAAATATTAAGTTACTTTTACGAAATACAAAAAAAATATTAAAATTGCATTTTTAATTTAAACAAAAAGGATTATAATAAATTCTAGCTGACAGCAAGTTTATTGTGAGTGTTATATTGATTAACATTGTGTCACGTGCGAAGACTGTGTTACCTCCTTTGGTTGTGTCATTCTGTGACTGTATGCCGTACTGTACGGAGGAGTGAATCGCTGGCAGTAAGTCAGCAGCCTGAGTCATTAGCTTCTGTGCTTCACTGACAGCACTCGTCTGAAAAGTTGAATCATCCAATCAAACATCAGGAAATTAACGGATGAATCATTTCGTGAAGCAATATGCTTGAGTGAATTTAATAATGTCATACCTCTTTTTTAGTGAAGGAGATGAGAGCACTGAGCAGCAGACGAGTGAATTTAACACGACTGAACAGAGCCAAGCACTGCTGATGCTGAGGGCAAAGGAGAAAGAAAGTCAACAACAACAACCCAAACCATCCATCCATCTCTTTATCTGAATCGAACATTGGGCAAAATGGTTGTATATCATCTTACATCTAATTCAACCTCAGGATCTCGCTGTTCACCCTGTCGACTGCGTGTACTCTGTAAGAAAACGGAAGAGGAAGAAGAAGATATTTAACAAGAGAAAAACCTGAGGAGAATCATGAAAAGTCTTAAGATGGAGTCACCATACCTTCACTTTCCTCTGAAGTTCATCCTCAACATATTTTAGCATGCCTACATTACAATTTAAATGGTGAAATGAAAAGAAACTGAAATCTTACAAAAATATATCCGAGTCATATTTCACTCATTTACATTTTTGCATAAGGAAAATGCATCAAAACATTATTTCCATGTCAATTAAGAATATTGACCCTCGAAATTCTCTTTAATTCTTTTGTAAATTCTCCTCAAATTCTCCGTAATTTGTCTAGATGTTTTACTTTTTAAATGTTAGGCATCATTACTCCAGTCTTCAGAGTCACGTGATCCTTAAGAAATCATTCTAATATGCTGATTTGCTGCTCCAATTTCAACTAATATAAAGTTCAAAATAAAAGAAATATTATAATTATAATTTTTTCCATTACAGTATTGAGAACTGGTGGGGAAAAGGCACTTAAGTCATGACGATAAAACAATAAGTACAAAATATAAAAATAAATACAAAAATATCCTTAATTTTATTTAAGCAAAATATAAAATCCCAATAAAGGTCAGTCTTTACACTCACCTGTCACTCTCAGATCTGTTACGTTGTTTGCCATTTTAAAGCCGTAAGTCATGGCCTGAAAGTCTTCCTGTGATTGGAAAACAGACAAATCCATATTCACTGAAGAAACCAACAGCAAAATTTAACACTGAAGATTGAATGGATTTAAGTTTTGGTTGTGTCTCTGTTCATACATGTACATTATGCCATTAGTAATCACACCAGACACTGATAACTTAATAAAACAACACCGCTGGGACAACAGTCTGAGAAATAAAACACTGCGTCTTGCCTCCTCAAACACAGCAGCTTTGTTGACTTTCTCGCGGGCGATGTCGCAGATCTTGAGGATGCCCGGAGCGAAGGCTTTGAGTGCAGGGTCTTGAATCAGATCCGGATTATGAACATAGAGACACGTAAACACAGTCTGAGCCAGAGAATGCCCCTCCAGCCATGTGATCTGAGACAACAGTGAGACAATATTCAATACAGCATACACACTGATATTCATAACACTCAACCAGACACTGCTTTGTTTAAAGGGGTCATATGAAGCGATTTCAAGTTTTCCTTTCTCTTTGGAGTGTTACAAGCTGATTGTGCATAGATAAGATCCCTGAAGTTGCAAAGACTAAAGTCTCAAAACCAAAGAGATATTCTTTATCAAAGTTAAGACTCTGCCACGCCCCCCTAAAACGGCTGGTTAACACGCCCCCAAATATCTACCTCACTACGTGGAAATATTTGCGTAATGCTGCCCAAATGTGCACGCAAAGAAAGAAGGCGTGGTTTCAGTAACCACAGTCAGTGTTGAAGCAGCATGTCAGGGAGACGCTGTGTGTTTCTAGGCGAAAGCAAACTGGGTCAGCTGGCCAATCAGAGCAGACTGCGCTTGTCGGAAGGAGGGACTTTGTAGAAAACGAAGCATTTGAGAGAGGCGGGGCATAGAGGACCTACAATAATGTACAGTATTTAAAAAAATTATGTGTTTTTGAACATTAAAGCATGTCAACATATTCTGTTACACCAAATAATGATCTTTAAAAAAGCATCATATGACCCCTTTAAAATACTACTATACTAATAAAAAGTTTGGTGTCTGTAAGATTTTTTTTTAAATTAGAGTCAGTAAAATGTTTTAGTCTCTTACGCTCACCAATGCTACATTTATATATAAAAATAAAAATAATATTACCCAAACTTTTGAGTGTTAGTGTGTGTGTGTCTGTGTGTGTGTGTGTGTATATATATATATATATATATATATACACATACATACACACACACACAATAACACTCATCGTTCATAAATAATGATGAAAAAAATCTGTCTGAATGAAAACCTAATAATTATTTTTATTTTACTGGAAGTAAATAAACAAACAAGCAAATGTCTAAATTATTTAAAAATATCTCTTCTGCTCATCAAGGCTGCATTTATTTGATCAAAAATACAGAAAAATCTTTCAAAGTAATCTTGCAAAATGTTATTACAATATAAAATAGTGATTTCTATTTTAATATCCTTTAAAATATAATTTATTTCTGTGATCAAAGCTGAATTTTCAGCATCATTACTCCAGTATAAAGTGTCACATGATCCTCCAGAAATCATTCTGATAAGCTGATTTATTATTAGAATTATCAATGTTGGCAACAGTTGTGCTGCCTAATATTTTTTTGGAGACTGCGATACTTTTTCAGGATTCTTTGATGAATAAAAAGTTAAAAAGAACAGCATTTATTGAAAATATAAATCTTTCTTAACACTATAAATCTTTGCTATCACTTCTTATCAATTTTACACATCCTTGCTGAATAAAAGTTTAAATTTCTTTCAAAAAAAGAAAGAATAAAAATTTCTTGCAAAAAAACATTTTGCAAGATTACTGTTTTTGTCTGTATTTGTTTTAATCAAATAAATGCAGCCTTGATGAGCAGAAGAGACTTCTTTAAAAAACATAAAAAATTGTTCTGATCCCAAACTTTTGACCGGTAGTGTGTGTACATATATATAAATAAATAAATGGAATAAAATAAAAGGAATAAAATTAAAAATAATTCCTGCTATGCAAAGCTGAATTTTCAGCATCATTACTCCAGTCTTCAGAGTAGCATAATTAGAATGATTTCTGAAAGATCATGTGACTCTGAAGACTGGAGTAATGATGCTGAAAATTCAGCTTTGCATAGCAGGAATTATTTTTAATTTTATTCCTTTTATTTTATTCCATTTATTTATTTATATATATGTACACACACTACCGGTCAAAAGTTTGGGATCAGAACAATTTTTTATGTTTTTTAAAGAAGTCTCTTCTGCTCATCAAGGCTGCATTTATTTGATTAAAACAAATACAGACAAAAACAGTAATCTTGCAAAATGTTTTTTTGCAAGAAATTTTTATTCTTTCTTTTTTTGAAAGAAATTTAAACTTTTATTCAGCAAGGATGTGTAAAATTGATAAGAAGTGATAGCAAAGATTTATAGTGTTAAGAAAGATTTATATTTTCAATAAATGCTGTTCTTTTTAACTTTTTATTCATCAAAGAATCCTGAAAAAGTATCGCAGTCTCCAAAAAAATATTAGGCAGCACAACTGTTGCCAACATTGATAATTCTAATAATAAATCAGCTTATCAGAATGATTTCTGGAGGATCATGTGACACTTTATACTGGAGTAATGATGCTGAAAATTCAGCTTTGATCACAGAAATAAATTATATTTTAAAGGATATTAAAATAGAAATCACTATTTTATATTGTAATAACATTTTGCAAGATTACTTTGAAAGATTTTTCTGTATTTTTGATCAAATAAATGCAGCCTTGATGAGCAGAAGAGACTTCTTTAAAAAACATAAAAAATTGTTCTGATCCCAAACTTTTGACCGGTAGTGTGTGTACATATATATAAATAAATAAATGGAATAAAATAAAAGGAATAAAATTAAAAATAATTCCTGCTATGCAAAGCTGAATTTTCAGCATCATTACTCCAGTATAAAGTGTCACATGATCCTCCAGAAATCATTCTGATAAGCTGATTTATTATTAGAATTATCAATGTTGGCAACAGTTGTGCTGCCTAATATTTTTTTGGAGACTGCGATACTTTTTCAGGATTCTTTGATGAATAAAAAGTTAAAAAGAACAGCATTTATTGAAAATATAAATCTTTCTTAACACTATAAATCTTTGCTATCACTTCTTATCAATTTTACACATCCTTGCTGAATAAAAGTTTAAATTTCTTTCAAAAAAAGAAAGAATAAAAATTTCTTGCAAAAAAACATTTTGCAAGATTACTGTTTTTGTCTGTATTTGTTTTAATCAAATAAATGCAGCCTTGATGAGCAGAAGAGACTTCTTTAAAAAACATAAAAAATTGTTCTGATCCCAAACTTTTGACCGGTAGTGTGTGTACATATATATAAATAAATAAATGGAATAAAATAAAAGGAATAAAATTAAAAATAATTCCTGCTATGCAAAGCTGAATTTTCAGCATCATTACTCCAGTCTTCAGAGTCACATGATCTTTCAGAAATCATTCTAATTATGCTGATTTGATGCTCAAGAAACATTTCTGATTGTTAATGTTGAAAGCAGTTGTACTGCTTCATATACAACTAGAAAGTTCAAAAGAACAGCATTTGTAATATTGTATTAATACAAATGTCTTTACTGTCACTTGTAATCAATTTAATGCATCCTACGCTATTAATTAAAAAAAAAAAAATTTAAACATAAAATACTCAAACTTCCCCCAAACTATTAAATAACACTGTATGATTATTGAATGCTTGTACTTGTTAAATACTTATTTTACTCTATTGTATATTGTTATTACTATTATTTATTACCATTACAGACACTTTTTTTTTTTTTACTTTCATGAGACCCAATAGAGTGTTGGCAATATCATTCTGACCAGACAGCAGAAACATGTGTCCATGATCCCGATGAGCTCAGGGATACTCAGATCCTTCACCCGTATGGCCTCATCCTTCAGAAAGACCGAGACCGAGGAAAAATTAATTACAGTACAGTATACATCCACTCTTAAACTCACTATATTCAGGTTCATTATTACTATTAACTCACTTTATTAAACAAAATAAAGTATCAGGATTATGTGAAACCAGCTCTTTTGGGATGTTACCTGAACAGCCTGTTCAAAGTTGAGCACTTTACGGTTGACTTGGTTTCCGATCATCCCGGTATCCATCTTCGGATCCATCATCTCAATGGCAGACATGGCCTCGAACAGACCGAACCTACAGGAACACGAGCATTTGACGTCTGCTGAACTCATGCACCAACTGTTCAATTGTGTGTAAAACTCAAATCAGTAAAACACGCTTACAGTTTGTCATGCAGCAACTCGCCAAGTTTGAGTTCTGCAACACATTCATTCAGCAAATTCAGTTTCTGTACAGCATTCTCTACAAGATTATACAGGACAGATTTATCTACACGAGACCATGATAAAACATGAAGGACGGTCCAAAAATGCCTGTTCTCGATTACTCAAATGTATTCAGGTGACAGTGCTGGAGTTGATTCACGATGCGGTCAAGCTCGTATGATAGCAAGTTATTTTTAGATCTCTTAGTTATGTTAACTTATTAGGGCTGCACGATAAATCGAAATGGAATCGAGATTCGACAGAAGCTGCGATTATCATGCGTATCTTTCAGTGAAACACGGTTCTGTGATCAGCAGTAAATCTTCGACAGAACCTGCTATTGTCATGCGTATCTTTCAGTGAAGCACGGTTCTGCGATCGGCAGTAAATCTTCGACAGAAGCTGAGATTGTCGTGCGTATCTTTCAGTGAAGCGCGGTTCTGCGATCAGCAGTAAATCTTCGATGACAGAAGCTGCGATTGTCGTGCGTATCTTTCAGTGAAGCACTGTTCTGCGATCAGTAGTAAATCTTCGACAGTAGCTGCGATTGTCGTGCGTATCTTTCAGTGAAGCGCGGTTCTGCGATCGGCAGTAAATTTCGATTAATCGTGCAGCCCTACTCTTAGTGACCATAAATGGCAAAACCGACCACATCAGGAAGATATTCCTGCAGCCGTGCCTCACTGCACTTTTAGAGAAAGAACCCTGCATACGATCAACATTTCTCCAGAGCATTGAAAATGCAAGACACAATGTCATAAATCACTGATTAAAAGCATGGACTGTAATGTGATAAAGCTTGCATCCCGTTTAGGAATCACTTTTTACCTCCATAACTAACTGCTAGTGATACGATGCATGGATTTTTTTGCTTGTTTTGGAAAAATCTGGTTTGAATATTACTGTAAATGTCACATAAACACGGCCCAGTTTTCTCCCTGCGTTTCTCAGGGCTATTCTGAGATCATGTGCCCTCTGATGACCGTGACATCTGCTGCAGAGTTGATTCTCTCATAATAAGCCACTGGTGTGACACACACACCTCTACAGGCTCCTTTGAATTCCTGGGTGACATCCACCCAGCTGGCGTTGTTTCTCATCTTCTCTGGGATCCCGAGACCCCATCCTCCCTCCTCCTCCTCTACCGAAGACTTCATCACCATGGAGACCGCTGTGAACACAAAATACACATGGGTCAAAGACGGGACGTCCCATTTTGGAGTTATACATATAAAGCATATTAAATGCAAGTGTCTACTTTATGGTTTCAATTAACTTTTGTGAAAATAAATTGTAACATAACATATATTTATGTCAAAATTAAACAACATACCTGATATTTATTAAAATATATTAAAGAAAAGGTGATCATACTAAATGTTATTACATTTGAACGATGCATGGATTTTTTTGCTTGTTTTGGAAAAATCTGGTTTGAATATTACTGTAAATGTCACATAAACACGGCCCATTTTTCTCCCTGCGTTTCTCAGGGCTATTCTGAGATCATGTGCTCTCTGATGACCGTGACATCTGCTGCAGAGTTGATTCTCTCATAATAAGCCACTGGTGCGACACACACACCTCTACAGGCTCCTTTGAATTCCTGGGTGACATCCACCCAGCTGGCGTTGTTTCTCATCTTCTCTGGGATCCCGAGACCCCATCCTCCCTCCTCCTCCTCTACCGAAGACTTCATCACCATGGAGACCGCTGTGAACACAAAATACACATGGGTCAAAGACGGGACGTTCCATTTTGGAGTTATACATATAAAGCATATTAAATGCAAGTGTCTACTTTATGGTTTCAATTAACTTTTGTGAAAATAAATTGTAACATATCATATATTTATGTCAAAATGAAACAACATACCTGATATTTATTAAAATATATTAAAGAAAAGGTGATCATACTAAATGTTATTACATTTGAAAACAACTTGCTGACACACGGGTAAAACCTAGTGGTCTGAGGGACAGTGGTGAAGATTTAAAATGACAATTAATTAGTATTTTGAGGGCTGCACTGTGAACTTTAAATAGAGCACAACTTTTAAAGCATAATATGGTTTTAACACAATCCATGTCTCAAAATCTAGTGAGTTAACAACGCAGACAGCATGTTTGGCCATTATACATCCCTCACAATGCTGTCTAAGTTAGCAAGCAGCTCGCTAGTCGCTAGTCTTTAAATGCAGACCAATATGTCCGAATGTGGCATCTACAGTCAAGCGAGACAGACCACAGACACAGACCACAGACACACACACACAGACCACAGACACAGACCACAGACACACACACAGACCACAGACACAGACCACAGACCACAGACACACACCAAGACCACAGACACAGACCACAGACCACAGACACACACACAGACCACAGACACAGACCACAGACACACACAGAGACACAGACACACACAGAGACCACAGACCACAGACACAGACACACACAGACCACAGACACACACAGAGACCACAGACACAGACCACAGACACACACACAGACCACAGACACACACACAGACCACAGACACAGACACACAGACACAGACCACAGACCACAGACACACACACAGACCACAGACACACACAGAGACCACAGACCACAGACACAGACACACAGACACAGACCACAGACACAGACACCTCCCTGCCATAGAGGGCAATGGGCTCAATTACTGATTCTAATATTTTCAGCCAAATTCTAATGGGGATCTCTATAGGACATTGCCGTTTTATGGCGTAGAAGGCCCTGTGCTTTTTTTGTTCAATCATAGGCAGATAAACAAACAAACAAATTAATTAATTGATTAATTTTTATCACCATGCACTGAGAAACACCAGCCTCTCCTTTCACATCAGCTTCTGGTCATTCCCAAAATAACTTACTAGTGGTTTCAGTCTAGCTGGGGTTGTCTCTCTTCACGTCAGCTGGCGTTACGTTACGTTACGTTACGTTACGTCGCGTTGACGCTGATCTGTAAATCATCTGTGCTTCAGACCGATGTGGCAGTGTATACCGAGCAGATCATGCATTCTGCGCCAGCTCTGTGACTGGACGCGCCCTCACTTCCGGGTGTGTGTGTGTTGTGGGTTAGAGTAAATAATAACACCATCGGGGGGCTCGTGTGTGTGTGTGTGTGTGTGTGTGTGTGTGTGTGTGTGTGTGTGTGTGTGTGTGTGTGTGTGTGTGTGTGTGTGTGTGTGTGTGTTGCCAAGAGAACGCGGTGAGGAGGTCAGATGGCGCAGGGCTCGTGTGCTTCAATTAAAGGTGGGTAGACGCATGTATTTCTGCTCCGGTGTTACGCTCTTGCTCTGCCAGTGACAGACACCAGCTGTCCCGCATGCGGATCCGTGCTAACAGTACAGCTACAGTACAGCTTTCTCCGGAGGACAGGTGGATCTGACCATGACTTGACTTCTTACAGGAGGGGCTTAGCAACTTAATGTTTGATAAGGAATGAATTATTCATTATATGAGCTGCGTCTTACTGTAATCAGTGTGATTCACAATGACCAACTTCTTTTGAGAACCTAATGTAAATACAGTATCTGATCTGTACTTGCACACTGGCCGTGGCTCAAAACCAAACAGACGCCCTACATAGACAGCTTGTTTGGGGGCCTATAATGCCCTAAAATGGCAGTCTATGTACTAGGCAGCTTAGTAGGTTTTCATGTCCAAAAATGCTGTCAGTGTGGGCAGGTAGGCTAAAATGCGCACAGATATGTGGCAGCTCTCTTAGGGGTCGATGCTTAAAAATGCTGTCTATGTAGACAGAAAGGTTATGAGATGTCCAAAAATATGATCTGTGTAGGAAGCTCAGTATATTTTGATGCCCAAACATGCTTTCTGATAGGCTCTGATACCCTAAATGCTGTATATATCAATAGTCTTCGAGGGTTTGATGCCCAAAACTGCAGTCTATGTAGACAGAAAGGCTACAATGCTCAATAATGCTGTCTAGGTAGTAAGCTCAGTAGATTTTGATGCCCAGGAATGCTATATAGGCTTTGATATCCTAAATAATGTATACAGTATATAGAAAGCTCTCTATGGTTTGATGCCCAAAAATGCAGTCAATATAGACAGAATAGTCTTAGATACCCTACGTTTTATATATATTGGAAGCTGTCTAGGGTCTGATGCCCAAAAATGCTGTCTATGTAGACAGAAAGGTTATGAGATGCCCAAAAACATGATCTGTGTAGGAAGCTCAGTATATTCTGATGCCCAAACATGCTTTCTGATAGGCTCTGATACCCTAAATGCTGTATATATCAATAGTCTTCGAGGGTTTGATGCCCAAAAATGCAGTCTATATAGACAGATAGTCTTAGATACCCTACGTTTTATATATATTGGAAGCTTTCTAGGGTCTGATGCCCAAAAATGCTGCCTGTGTAGACTGATAGACAATGACGCCCAACAATGTTGTCTAGTTTGGCAGCTCAGTAGGCTCTGATAGGTGGGTAGCTGTATAAATAGGTTGCTCACTAGGTTTGAGACACAGTCCTTGCTGCTGTTTTCCATCCTTGACTAGGTAGGGTGCTTATTGTTCAAGATTGTGTGAAGTAGCCTTCCATGGTGTTGCTGTATGAGCTCATGGTGTTGTTTAATGCATTCGTGTGACTTGATACTCTTGATCAATTAAATTCGATTTTCTACATAAACACATTTCTAAATGTTTCTTCCCCTCGGCAGTCAGTTTGATGTCTTACTGAATGTGACAAGAAATGAATAAACCCAAAATGGCGGCAGAAAAAAGGTTAGATTTCCCCCTCTTATAAACACACACACACACACACACACACACACTTACTAACTAAATGGGGACATTCTACAGACACCTCTATTGTTTCTATATATTTTTATATACAGTTAACTAGCTGTATTGTTTTTATACTATATTTACAAATACTATAACCTAACACTAACAGTACACTTTCAGCATTTTTACAAAAAAAAATATATATATCTATATACAGTATGTATAATTTTTTTTTTTTAAATGTTGAATATATACCTATATTATACCATGTTTACAAATGTGTCCCTAAAAGGAGGTTTTGGCTCACTTCTGGGTACAAATTTGTTCCCAAAATTACACACACACATTCATTAGCTGCTCTGTGATGACGATATGCAGTGTACATAGTTTGTTGTTGCCTAAAGAGGTGCGACACATCTTTACTCTGTAGCAAGCTTTGACGATGGTGTACTTTGCCTGTTGTGATGGTTTCCTGTATTCCCAGTGCTTCCCGGGTGCTGATGTTGCTGAGTCAGCTGGAAAGACTGAACGAGGAGCATAAAGTCTCTGATAATGACGCCATCCGGCAGATCACAGGCAAAATCCTTCACCTCATCCAGACTCAAGGTGACCTGACACACATATCCACCTTCACATATGCACAATAAAACCAATATTTAGTCCAAATCAAATTTAACTTTACTTTCTTATTACAAGTTTCTGATCTTTCTATGCAAAATTCAGATAATACAAAATTTCTTAACTAATTGGTTAACTAATGCTATCCGATAACCAAATAGCTGTTAAGTCATTGTTTAGACTATACTGTTGAGTGGAATTCATATTGACTTTTGCCGATAATATAGTAATCGACTGCTGGTTAAAGGAGACATAACACACACAGTTTCTGCCAATCTCATGTTAATCTTGAGTACCTATAGAGTAGTGCTGCATGCCTCATATCTCTGAAGAGTCTTTAGTTTTATCAGATTTATTAAAGACAGAAACAGATGTGCCACTTCTCTCCGAAACCAGTCGAGCTCCTGGAGGCGTGCTGTGGGCGGAGCTAAAGAGTCACAAGCATGCGCAGCTTTTGCGTAGCGATTGTCTGCAATAAAACAGGAACAAAAACTGAAAATCTGATTCAGCCATATATAGGCTATTCGATCCAGAATCGGATCCTGATGATTTCTGTATCCTGAATGAAGCACATTGGTGGGCTGCTCTTGCTCTGGTTGATGTGTGCGCACTCTTCCGGGAGAAGTGCCCATACAAGGAATCCAGCGCTTCATTACGTCATGCAGGGCCATACTCAGGAAAAAAAAACATTCTGAAACTTATACGAACCTTGAATGAGCTTTTGCACGGAAATTCCCCGTCATACGTCCAACTCGTTTTTTGAGACTTTG